GTATGTACTGGACAAAGAAACTACTATGTGCAAACCAACATGCATGACTTCCTATGATTCACACAAGAGAGTTGCAATTAGAACAACAGGGACACTAAGCCCCAGCATTCACTACATGACCTTGACCTCTTCACATGTCAGGGACAGACCCGTACAACAATATGGCATGAAAACTGATTGAAATTGACTAACAATTGATAGGCTTCCAGATCATAAATTTCTCCATCGAAAGGTCACATCTTAGATTGAGAACAATAACACTGCATGCTTGAAGATTGAAATCAGCTATCAATGTATAGGTCTGCTCTTGATTGACATCACATGCAGACCCTTTCAAGACAATGCACATCACCAGCCCTTGGGGATTACCTGTGTCTGATATTGATTGCCTGATATTGACAATCATCCACATCAACACTGATCATGTAAAGTAGAAAATTCTGCATACACTCCTGAGCACACACAGACATTTGATCAGGCTTAAAACAGTGCATGTGTATACACAGAGACACAACACTGAACATAGGGGCAAATGTCATCTGGTGCAAATCAATAGCAATGATAAGGTGGCACTTTTTATGTGTATAGTTGTGGTACATGCTAAACTGTATCTACAGAACTGTTCCCAAACATATCTATGGCTTCATAACACAATCTGAGACCTGTAACTTGAACATTCACAGACTTCATTACACAATCTCAGATCTTGATCTACAACATTCATGGAAATTATCCACAACACAACCACAGATCTATCACTCTAGCTGTTGCTCCACTATTGCAAATTTATCCCAATATTGTTTTCATCTATCACAAATACTACTGCCACTGTTGCAACATCCTCCCAAGATAAACCACTTCTTTTCCCATACTATATTCCCCATGCTGTCTGGTATGCTACCATAATCAATCACTATTGGATCGAACTACATTAATAGTAAGGATAAGATTTATGGATGAACAACGTCTTTATTACAATTAAGAGCGACGTTTCATTGTAGGTTCTAACACCGTTATCAAGCAAAAGTAACTAAGAACTACTTCATAGTAAACTAGTTGCGTAATGTGATCTGTTTAATTAATCAGAGGATTATGTCATTGTAATATTCTTTAAACTGTTTCATTTTTAAGAAAAAAAATACCCACATTGTACTGCCAGTCTGTGTCCCATTACGATTCTCAATATACTCATAACATTTGAGGCTCATTCATGTAGCTGGTTGAAAGTCATCGGTCCAGCGATAGACAAGAGATAATGCCCTGTACAATAAGCTGCCTTACACCTTCGAAATCCAGGTGAGTTAAGACAACACATTACCACCCATGACACCTGTGACAACTGCGATCACAAATGTTGTTGCTTGTTTCATTACAATTGGTTCTGTTACAGTATATATTCCTCGAAGGAGGTCTGCACTGAAACAAGTTAACATGCTGCAACGGAGGGTTACCAACTGTCCTGTCAAGTAGCTATATGAGTTATGTTAAGGATAAGGGATGTGTATCTGGACTGTCATTACAAATAATGATACTCACCAGTTGAAATACATCAATAAATAAATTAAAATAAATAAAACACAAAATCAGAAATTTCATACAGACCATTTGCCATACATGAGAATCTTTAACTTCTTGCTTTGATATATGTCCTGCATTTAAGCTGGCCAATATATTTGTACTTCTCATGAATATTGTGTGATTTGATTGTTGTAGCTAGTACATTGTAGCTAATGTACTTATTAGAACTAATGGATGAGCTTCAAATTTGCATTTCAGAAAGTAGGTCGGTAAACTGTCAATTTGTCAAAGATAATCTGAACATGTCTTGTCCTCATGCCTATATAAGTTAAAGGTGTTGCATGGTGTACACTGAACAGGCTTCATGGGTCTTGTTCTATGGTTATAGATGCTGCAGACCGCCTCCGTGTTCCAGTGGTAGAGCGTCCGCCCGGAGAGCGGAAGGTCCGGGGTTCGACCCCCGACCGCGTCATACGAAAAGACGATTAAAGATGGTACTTGTTGTTACCCTGTCTGGCGCTCTGCATTAAGGGGCTAAAACAAGGACTTGACAGGACAAGGCTCGGAGTCAGTATACTGTGTCTGAGTGGGGTATTCATGTGAAACTGCGGTATGGTATCTCAGTGAGCTAGCATTATAAATGGGCATCAGTCCGGACTAGTACAAGCAGACACACACACACACACGTACATGCACGTCGCTATATAAGTGCAATAATCTTGGACGCGACGTTAAACCCCATTTCACCTCACCTTATAGATGCTGCACAGTGAACACTGATCAGACCTTTTTGTGCTGAACATAATTTCATTTGGCAAATCATAAAAACTTTCAAAATTGTTTTCGTCCAAATTAACATGCGTAGGTCGCTCCAATACAAACCCCAAGAGGAAAAAGATTGTTGTTTAATGCAATATGCAAGCTAAAGAATGTTGTTCATACTTCTTGTAACAGGACATGCATTGGTATAATCAGTATAGCGGTAACATGCATACAGACACATTATTCTACCAGTTTCACAAAATGAGCTCTAGCATGATGCAACTCTTAAAAAAAATTGACACATGGCTGTTGCTAGTCCTGGGGTTGAAACTACTTCATGGAACATTGGTATATCAGTAGCGGTAACACGCATACAGACACATCATTCTACCAATTTCACAAAATCAGCTCTAGCATGATGCAACTCTTGACACATGGCTGTTGCTAGTCCTGGGGTTGAAACCACTTCACGGAACAAGGCCAAGTTGAGCCAAACATGGGTTATCCCTCAATACTAGACACATTACACTGTGCAGGACTCCACACACCATGGAGGGGATATGCTAAGAGTTCCTGACATTATTACCCCAGTCAACAAAACAATGGTAATTCCTAATTGCATTCTCAGCTCCCTGGGGAGTATTCAGATGCAGCAAACTATGACAATGTGTACCACTGTGTAATGATAACGTTACAGTAAGTGACGAGTGTGAGACGCTGACCTTTCCACACTGCAATCATCTCAGTCAGACAAGACAGGCACAACATAAATATACAGTAGAGTTGGGAAAATACCATTTCCCAAACTATGTATGCAAAACTACAGCCCATGGAAATTGTTGCATTTTTGTTGTCTCTCAACTAGAAAAATATTTCATGGGAAACGAAGAATATAGTGCCCAGAAAAGTGTATACCTTCATGGGTGGTAGTGGCGTGAAGGAAAACATTGAATATTCTGTGTTATTGAGATGAGATAAACATGGTATTTGGAGAGGCAGGATTCTATTTCAGCAGTATCCGAGGTATAAGTGTTGATTTCCGATATTTGTATAGGACTGATACAGGATCAGGGTTTTACGCCACGCAGAAATGTGCGTCCAATACGCACAAATGAATAGAATGGACGCAGAAAAAATATATATTGCGTCCTGAAGGATGCACAATAATAGCCATGTACCAAATTCTTAACAAAAAAACATAAAGTTCCTGTAATGAAAGAAATTATTAATTCTTACTGTACACTAGACTATTTCATTTCATTTTTCCTGTGAAGACCCTTGACATTAGTAATTGTGGGTCCTCTGGACCCCTAGTTTTGTTGGTGAAGGTGCAGGATTAATAGAGGACTTACGCAGGATTGATACAGGATTGATACAGGATTGACAGAGGACTTACACAGGACTTATACAGGACTTATAGAGGATAGACAGAGAGTTATATGACTCCAGAATTAGACACCACAGTCAACAAGCTGAAAACAAAGAGTCAAGCTGAAGGCATGGCTAAAATCGAAAGGTCAGCCATTGTTGGAAATCAAGTTACAAGAACATACCATGCCCATGGCAAAACAGACATATCCTCCAGACTGTCAGTCAGTCTGTCCCAGTAATGTTCTTGACGGCCACTTTGTGACACAGCCTAAGGTAAAATGGGGCTAACAATGAAGTTAGGAGGACAGAATGTTTTCTCTTCCGCTGTGTCCACCAACTTACTTTCAAAGTCATATTTCACTCTACGGTGAAAGCTTCACGATGTTTCTTACTTGACAGCAATTAACAAGCTTAGTAATCATATTCAAAGTATGCCTGAATTTGAATCTTGACCCATATGACCATATAAAGTCTTCTTAAAACAAACTCAAAAGCATCAGAGTGCAAAACCTTATATTACCTAAAGAGGCACAACTATAGGTGAAACTATTTTCTAATTCTCAGTGAGCATTACAATTTGTGCTCCATGCTGATTGGCAAGATGTTAAGATTTGTTTGTGAAGTGGCCAATAGCCACATGTCATATCAACATCAACATAATATTGTCTGCTTGTTTGTTATGATGTTTAACACTACACTCAGCAATCTTCCAACTATATGACAATGGCCTGAAAATAACCGAGCCTGGACCAGAAAATTCAGTGATCTATATTGTGAACAACGATCCACGCCATCAGGGTACCAATTAACCAAGTCACTAAGCCTGACCACCCCATCCTTTTGATTGCCTCTTACAACCAGCACAGGTTGCAGGGGGCCTGTTCAGACTATTGGCAAAATATAGAATAACCTACTCACAATTTACTTAATTATGGAGTATCTGTCCCTTGAGAAACAATATTACAAGTTCCTTCTAAGGCGCTGGACTTACAAGCTTAATTCACTGGGAACAGATTATCTGTAGTTTCTCATAGCTTGTAGGTTTTGCTGTACGTATTTGCCATAAAACGGTTCACAATGAAGAGTTTAAGTTGGATGTGGGTTGTTTTGACATCAGTGATTATATAAAACAGATGTTGCAAATGTCTAACAAAAAAAATTAAAATGTATATATTTTGCTGAATTTTTTAATATCAAATACCTAAACATCAAAACTGACTTTGAAATATTTAAAAACATCTGTGTTGGTCATCATCATGTTCATGCCCAGTGTAACTTAGACATGTTTCTCCAAGCTATTCTGTCTTCCCTACATGCACGTCCAGCACCAGCAGACCACTCATACTTACGATCACAGAGAATTTCCAAGGAAGGCACAAAATAGTAATCACACACAATTGCCAGGGCCATGAACATGTATATGCAGATGAGGATGTGGACCGCTATGGCTCCTTGTTGGCGCTGTTGCTGTGTGAAGAATCCTTTGGGAAACTGTTCTACTGCTCGTGGTGTGCAGTTGGGCAGGGTCATCATTAAGTGCCGTGACAACCCTAAAATAAACAAGAAACTATTAACTGTTGAATGGTGAAAAGTCAAACACTGCTGCACAAAAAGATGTGGTAACATGGAAAGTTTATGAAGTGTTCTTTGAGTTGAAGTAATACATGTATAGCTTCGCACTATTGTTGGTAACTAGATAGAGACCTGTGGCATTTGTTGGTAAAAATTCAAAAATTGGAACAAAACATATCCCAATTCAAGTTGAGAGCATTCTATTTCAAAATAAATGTTTCAGTTTTGGAAATGTGACGTGAATTTCACTGATGTTTGTCTTTTTGTTTTATCCTGCATTTAGGAATATTCCATGTGTAACACAGCAGTCTGTAAATAAGTATTGGGGCTGTACATGTTTTAAGACTATTGCATTGAAAGTAAATTGAAATCCTAGAAAAAAAGGTCTCTTTGGCCTTTTAATAAACACCCCATACCAGAGTTAGAATGAGCTAGTTGAGAACTAATCGCATATAGTATTAGTCCAGTCATATCTTCCCTTGTGAACAACTGAAGACAGTCCCCAACTTGTTGATCACTGAGGTGAATAGGTGAAAGAATGGAAAATAGACATGAGTCACTGTTATATAATGTGTCAGTTACATGAGAGCAGCAAGCCAAGTATCAATGGTGGACACTGATCCACATAAACTGGGCAAAATGTTCCATAATTAGGCATGAGACACATAATGTACAGCTTTGTGACACGTTTTGGAAGTAGCCTCAACCTTTAATTGATTTTTAGCACCATGTTTCTTGAATTCATGTTTTTTTTATATATTTCAAAACTGAATTAGAGTCATGTCATCACCACAAACCTAATATGTGTGCAATGCAGCAAGACACAATCTAGCCACATGCCTACAGCAAGACATAATCTAGCCACACACCTACAGCAAGACACTATCTAGCCACACAACTACAGAAAGACACCATCTAACCACACACCTACAGCAAGACACCATCTAGCCACACACCTTCAGCAAGACACAATCTAGCCACACGCCTAAAGCAGACAACATCTGCCACATACCTACAGAAAGACACCATCTAGCCACATGCCTACAGCAAGACACAATCTGCCACATGCCTACAGCATGGCACCATCTAGCCAAACACCTACAGCAGACAACACCTGCCACACACCTTCAGCAAGACACAATCTAGCCATACACCTTCAGCAAGACACAATCTAGCCACATGCCTACAGCAGACAACATCTGCCACACACCTACAGCATGGCACCATCTAGACACACACCTTCAGCAAGACACAATCTAGCCATACACCTACAGCAAGACACCATCTAGCCACACACCTACAGCCAGACACCATCTGCCACAAACATACAGCATGGCACCAACTAGCCACACACCTTCAGCAAGACACCATCTAGCCACACACCTTCAGCAAGACACCATCTAGCCACACACCTTCAGCAAGACACCATCTAGACACACACCTTCAGCAAGACACCATCTAGCCACACACCTTCAGCAAGACACAATCTAGCCACACACCTACAGCAGACAACATCTAGCCACACACCTACAGCAAGACACCATCTGCCACAAGCCTACAGCAAGACACCATCTAGCCACACACCTTCAGCAGACAACATCTGCCACATGCCTACAGCAGACAATATCTAGCCACATGCCTACAGCAAGACACAATCTAGCCACACACCTACAGCAAGACACCATCTAGCCACACACCTACAGCAAGACACCCTATAGCCATAATCCTACAGCAAGACACCATCTAGCCACACACCTACAGCAGACAACATCTAGCCACATGCCTACAGCAAGACACCCTAAGCCACACACCTACAGCAAGACACTATCTAGCCATACACCTACAGCAAGACACCCTATAGCCATACAACTACAGCCAGACACCATCTAGCCACACACATACAGCAGACAACATCTAGCCACACACCTACAGCAAGAGACCATCTAGCCATATACCTACCGCAAGACACCACACAGCCACACATCTATAGCAAGACCTGAAGTGGTCTTATTCCATACATAAAACATGACAATGATAATGTAGGTGATAAACTAAGCATAAATACATGAGATTCAATGACTTGCTTCAGTCTCCTACATCATGAGACTAGGTTATGTCAGATTTGCAGCCATCCAAAGAAGACCTAGGGAAGGAAGACAGGGAGGTCTGGACCTCCAGGAACCCATCCCATAGCCTCAGACCAACTCCCACTCACTCACACACACACACACATCTACACCCACCCACCACCAACTCATGTCTACTCCCACACACCTCTACCACCACTCATACCCACTCCCACTTACGGCCACCACTCGCTCACTCACACACACACATACACACACACACACACACACATCTACACCCACCCACCACCAACTCATGTCTACTCCCACACACCTCTACCACCACTCATACCCACTCCCACTTACGGCCACCACTCGCTCACACACACACACATCTACACCCACCCACCACCAACTCACGTCTACTCCCACACACCTCTACCACCACTCATACCCACTCCCACTTACGGCTACCACTCACTCACTCACACACACACACACACACACACACACACACACACACACACACACACACACACACACACACACACACACACACACACACACACACACACACACACACACACATCTACACCCACCCACCACCAACTCACGTCTACTCCCACACGCCTCTACCACCACTCATACCCACTCCCACTTACGGCTACCACTCACTCACTTTCCAGTCCTAGACTAAGTTATACAAAACATGCACCAGTGCAACCTAACATTTTTGTTTACATGCACCAAGTGCATGCAAAAAGATTAATACATCTGTCTGACTAACATCTAATTGTTCACACAATACCTCCTGGCAATACCATACCATATCACTAATCCCTGTGTTATGTGTAATTTGCCATGCTTTCTTGGACATTAAAATATGGGTAATTCAAGATAATGTGCACATGTTCCTATTACATTTTACAGAAATACATCCTTAGTTTATGTAACAGTGGAATCTACTTTGATACATTTATGGGACCAGGGCACAACCCGCTTCTGACTGGTGCATTAAGGCTTTCATGTCAAACATGCACCTGGTGCAAATTAAATGCAGTTCCATAAATCAAGCCCAGCTTTCACATCCACACCTACCACTTCATCGCATCAACACCCACCTATACCAACCACCTTCTCCAACCAGCAATCACCCACCAACACCAACACCAACACCCACAGTGACACCGACAGTGACACCCACACCCATCTGGATAAATCTATGCACAGTACACATCGTTACTCTGTTCAATATATCTCACACTGAAAGGCTTGTGTAAACTCTGGAACAATGGAACTAATGATGTCCATCCTGAGTGTACACTTGCATCCACAAGTGAGTTAACATGGTTAACATAGAACCTTTGGAAGACAGTAATGTTCAGATGCCAGAGGAGACGAAGGCTGATCTATCTACCTATTGCCGATTAACTGCTAAATGTGGATGTGGATTCTCAACGTCAATGATTTCACTCAAAAAGTTCATTTAGGTAATTTTCTATCAGAATGTAACGAGAAAAAGGGCTTGATCTGAAGAAAGCTTGCCCAATCTTCTGATTACCGGACAGCTGTCCCAGCTTGCCTTGAGTCAGCAGTAAGACCTAACTAAAAACCACTCTCACTTCCAAATTGGGCCGAAACATTTGCCCACAGTTCAAGTACATCTTAAATCAAAACAGGGTCATTCCAAATGTTCCTGAAACTATCTGTCCCTTATTTTCAGACCACATTGACCTTCATCTTCAGAGATGAGAATGGATATATTCCTTTTCAGTTGATACACCTTTGCAATGGAGTATGGTCCATAATCTTGGGGGTGTTAAAGAGGGGAAGCCATCAGATTTTAACAAATTTGTGGTCACTAAAATTCACGGTTCTGCAGAAGATTCTCATCCCTGCATAAGCCAACAGGCTAATGACATAATTAGAGACAGTTTGTTGTTTGTTTGTTGTTTAATGCCACACTCAGCAATAACCTGTAAATAATTGAGCCTGGACCAGACAATCCAGTGATTGACATTGTGAACAACGATGCACGCAATTGGGTTACAGTGACACCCTATCAACCAAGTCATCTAGCTGACAACCAGATCAATTTGGTAACCTCTTATGACAAGCATAGGTTTCTAGGGACCACTCTAACCTGGAATCCCACAGGGTAGAGACAGGCACAAAGCAGAAGAAAACATGATACGGTACATACGAAGAGTATCACTGGTGCTTTATGTCTTAATGGCTGGGTTGTTTTACAATACGTGGTTTATACATGGCGAGGAAGAAATGTAGGAACTGAATAATGTATTGATAGTGATTTCTACCTGTTGTCCCAGTTAGATAGTGTTTCTCATTTCTATTACAAGTATATTCATGGCATAAACAATATGAAATCATAGAGTACGAGTATGTACATACAGATGGGCACTTTGAACACTCACACTCCATTCCCTCCAGACAGGATAAGTATCACAAACATTTTTAAAGATATATGATACGGATATGATACAGATATACATCCTACAACAGTTTGATCATTCTCAGAATATTCACTTGATTTAATGTGCATGTTACCCATCAAGTGAATGATCAAACATTGTCTCAGAGAATATGGTATAAAACAAACAATGACCTATACATGTTTCGATCTGCGCAATTGGGATACGATGACGTGCATCAACCAAGTCAGCGAGCCTGGCCACCGGATTCCGTTAGTCTCCTCTTAAGGACAAGCATAGTCACCTCTTATGATAAGCATGGGTTGCGGAAGACATATACTACCACAGATCTTCACAGGTTGAAAGATGAAGTAAAATCATTTTTTCTGGCATACACACATATATATACACCAGGAAACTGTTGAACATATTTTAACAAAGTTGATCTCAAAAGCTATATATTTTACTGGTGGGGACACCACAGTGTGATAATGTATCAATACATGGATATACTTTTCATCATGGAATACAAAACTGACACTGAAATAATGACATGTGCATTTTCGATGGATGCACATATCTAACAAACAAATAAATGATGACAAACACAGTGAGCTTAAGTGAGCCGCCTGAAGTTAGCAAAGGCTTTGTTTTTCATTGTTCGAAAAACGAACCAGCTGCTAACTTCCGGCTGCTGTGAAAGTGGGGCCCAGAAGCTCACCTGAATTAGTTTGTGTTTATCCGCACTGTCATGGTTATATAACATGGAAAATTTGCATTTATAACACTCAAAAGACAGATGCCTGCTTTTCAGGTAGAAAGGTAAATAAGTTATTATTAATTTTTCAAGTAGGTTTTGAGATATGATCAGTTGCTGTGTTTCAACTTTCACAATAATACCAGTAATAAGTCAGAAAAAAAAAAAATTCAAAATGGATTGAGTGTCATATTAAATTTATACAGGATTCTAGCATGATATCTTAGAATCCTGATTTTCTTATTGGTCCTCCTTCAGTATCAAATCTTTGCTTTTAGCTGATTATCACGAAAGAACATATTTATTCAGAAGCACTTCTTTCACAACCCACAATTCATCATCAAATTTTATCTGCCTAATCCAGTCTTCCTTCACTCTGGAGTACGGACAGAAATTGTGGGACAAGGGACCAACTTATCATGTAATTGACCTTCACTAATCCGGATCACCACTTCAACCGTCTCACTCGCATGTCCAGGAGGCTCTTCTCATCAACAAACAATGTGCTTACAACATAGATTAATGCCAAGAATGGCCTCGGCTCTGATAACATAGCTTTAATGGCAGAATAGCAAGACCACGGCACCACTGTCAGGGTACCGTACATATCCCAATAGTAAGACCACAGCACCAGACAGGATAAAAGAAACGTCAGCTGGAGGTGAAACAGTCTCGATACCGTACATATCCCAATAATGAGACCACAGTACCACATATAACGTAAGAAACGTCGGCTGGAACTGAAACACTGTCACGGTACCGTACATATCCCAATAGTAAGACAAGGGTCCATAGCCTAATGAGGTCCAGATGGTATAATGAGGTGGGTGAATCAGTGACATTGTCTTCAACAATACGTAACTATAATTAATCTGGTATGAATCAGTGACATTGTTTTCAACAATACGTAACTATAATGAATGTGGTATGAATCAGTGACATTGTCTGAAAGAGTGCATATACAGCTTGCAAAAGGGAAGGAGAACTTTATGATCACATTGTATACTCCTGGATAGCCCCTTGATGAGTTGAATTTAGCATTGTAATACCTCAACACCACCAATCACCTGCACAACATCCAATCTGTAAACTGTAAATGTTGTGTAAAAGTTAATCCCCCCCCTCCCCATACAACTCTTCTCTGCATTATGTATGTCAATTAAACAAAAGGCATTTGCAATCTAGTGTACCCCTAGATAGATAGATAGATAGATAGATAGATAGATAGATAGATAGATTTCCTCCAATTGAATGAAGATTACAATATGCAGATATAATTATGTTACATGTTTAACATGAGTTGGAGGTATATTTACACATGTTCATAAACATACAAGTTTTTAGCAGGTATCGCCATTTCCTTATAAAGCGGCTTACATTAATTATTACTTCTGCCCACACATCTCTTTCTAGTTCCATAATACATTCTATTGGACATCCACCAAGTAAAAACGCAAGAATAACATCATCTTTCTCCCAAATCTTAACAAAAAACATTTACATCCAGGATATCACATATGGGCTTAAAAAGTAAATTTCGGACATTCATATTGATATTGCAAGACATTAACACATGCTTTACAATGTCATTGGCAACAGTTTTACAACAGCATTCTCTAGAGACAATTTCATCTGATCCATACAAGTCTTGCAATATTAGTTAAATGGTCATACTTCTCCAAGGCTAGTTTCCAGAGATAGTGTTCATTACTTGATCTTATACTAACATATCTTGACAGACTGAGTCTTGAAATAAGGTGGACATAAAATACATCATCTCAATGAGATTTAATAGCATCATTCACGGCCTTGGACCAGCATTTCTTATTAATAAATTGACAATTATTGACATAGTTAACAAGTGTATCATTTAGACTATACTTTTGTACAAGTTGTAGCATATTATATATCGGAGATTTTCTACTCCATACATGGCATGTAAAACTATCTGTACACATAAATTGACCCAGGCGAACTAGAAGTAGAAACATTACTTTAAAAACACAGTTATACTTTGCATTACATAGCTTTCCTAAGAGGTAGAGTGCTCTTTTATCTATGTAATACTGTAGTGGCATGATGCCGGTAGCATCCAATACAACAATACTGGGAGTGCGCCTGTGTAGTCCCTGAACTTTTATAACATTGACGTTGTACGACTTCAAGCATTTCATACTCTTTAAGAGGAAGTTTACCCCATACGCTGCATCCATAGAGGGCACATGATAAGATTACCCTCTCCCAGAAACGTGCTGCAGATTTAGGATTCTGACCACCAAAATACAACCCATTATTATGGTTAGTGTTGATGAGTACACATAACTTTTCACATGCAGATTTTGAGCGTTCAAGTGATAATTTATCTGTACTAAGATATACACCTGCATATTTAATAGATTTCCTTGGTGGAACATGCATATTGCAATTGATACATTAGTGGTTTGAACCTTTTTGTTTGGGCATCCAAAGTATAGAACTGCACTCTTGCTTACATTATATTTTAGCTGCCACATATGAGCATAGTTTTGAAGGACATCAAGAAGATTTTGCAGGCCTTTATTTGAGATACTCCATAAAGTAGTGGTGTCGTCAGCAAGAAGAATCCTAGGACATTTACCCCATGGCAGAATTAAGCCAGAATCGGAGTTTCCAAGTTCATATAGAAGGTCATTAATAAATAGCGTGAAAAGCCATACCCGATCAAATGCTTTTTCATCATCTATGAATGCACAGTATACAATCGACATCGTTTCATTGTAATATCATGGACCCTAAGTTTTAAGTCTCCATGGTAATATGCAATATTTTCTGTTAACGTAAGTACAGCCGTTTCAGCACCATAGTGAGGTCTAAATCCAAATCGCAAAGGATGGGGAAATTCTATGTTATCATCTACCCAAGACTCAAATCCTGTTGAGAAGAAGTCTTTCAAAGAGTTTGTTTAATACAGGCGTCATTGTTATTCTTCTATATTTGGCAGGGTCATATTTTGGTTTACCATGGCCTTTGTGTATAGGAAGAATTTGACCTATAGAAAATGATTTTGGAATGTATTCAAAGTTAATAATGGCATTGAATAGTAAGGCAATATGATACAGCAGAGATCTACCATCCTTCTTTATATGTTTATTGCATCATGTATGTCAATTAAACAAAAGGCATTTGCAAACTGTTGTACCCCAAGTGTCATGAAAACTGTACCATCCATTCTCAAACAGTGTTGATATCACGTCTTCCCTCTAAATATATACGTTGACCGTTTGGTATTGATAGTGATTCGTTACAGCCCTTATCACCTGCTTAAAGGCGAGGTTGCTTTGTTGGTATATCCTTGATAAATAACCTAGACTCTGATTCTGAAACTATACATGTGATGTTTCTCCCCGTCAGCATAGAAACGTGTAAGTCGCGTCATTCACAACCTCGGCTGCCCCTAGAACTGTAATATAATACACATGAGCGATTTCAATCACTATACAACAGTACAGCGAGAGGGCAAGACCGCAGCTCTATAAACAGTACAGCTCTTGTGCCACGTAAGACACCCATAGGATCTTGGCAATCAATAACTTTCACAGCAACCTGCAAAACGAATAACCATCGCTTCCTACCTTGGGTCTCCCAAACACTGCCAAGGTCTGGGGGATTCCCCTCGGCCCCCTCCAGGCTTTCCTCCGGGAGTTGGGGGGAATCTGACAGCCAAAACATTCGCCATGATGTCAGAGTAACCAGTCCAACAGAAAATATCAACACACGAATGTGTACCGGTGCTCGTCGGATCCGCATGCTTCATTCCTCTAATGTAAATCGTTTATCTGCGAGTGTTCCTGATCTCATCTCCTTATCTCCCGCCGTCGGGCCTACGACTCGACATTTCCAACAGCGACACAAGCCCATGTGGGACGAAGATCAGACGACTACATTTTCAAAGGGGGAGAAAGGTTGGAATCTCCAACAGCATGTAAGCGTTGGTATTAAAAATTTAGGAGTGTGACGGTAATCGATCGATATTTGCGTAAAAGCAAAACATTTACCGACCGTACAAGAGAGTGGCATAAGGGCAGTCGCTTTTGCTGCATAAACCGTGTGATCGTTCGTTTTACCTGGCACACTTTGTAGACCCTTCCATTCAAGTCTATCGTCTTTCACTTTGAAACGAATCTCGACAATGTCAAGTACTGTTAGATTTGAGGGCATACAGCTAGGTAATACAATTGCTTCCACGTGTAACGCTGATTTTCAGGTAAAGATTACTTATTTCTACAAATGATCAGACGTCTAACTGGTGACCTTAGACGCATTCGTTCAATGACCAATTGAAACATGTTTGTAACTTTAGAATGATTGTTAGCATTTCACAAATCGAGAAATGTAGATATCCTAGTTTTACTATAGATCGCGTTGTAGTATCACGTCAGTATACCATGTTTATTAATTATCTGTACGGATAACGACTCTCTTGGTTGTATTGAATAGAGCTGTTATGTAAACACGAATGTTATCGTGGTTAATCCAGGTCGATTTCAAGTCAGTTTGAAACGCATCGTACTGTTTCACCTCATGGAAACATGCATTTTGTAAACATAGTGACCAGACATACACATCATTCTATCGCGTTTCAAGGCAACTGCTGTGTATGTTCAATGAGTTCCGTTGTTTGCTTACCACAGTGCATACACTATATACACGCTTTCTTTGTTGTAAACACAAGCGACCGGGTAGCTCGGATGTATTATAAACCTGGCTTAGGCATATAAATCATGGAGACGACATTTATTTTCGATGTTCAGGGTTTTAAGATTGAGTGAATGCATCTGAACTGAGACTTACTGAGTCAGAAGTCGTCTATATAGCTACCAATAATCATGTCATCGCAGGCAGACGAACGGGGTACATCGCACAAGCTTTTGAACAATGGGCCGATGTGGGTCGACAGAAATCCGTCGTCTGCGCGACAAGCGAACACCCCCCACCACTTGACTTTATCGTGCCCCCAAACAGAGAGAGTGTTGGGTTCAACGCCGCTCTGAGTTTTATTCACCCCAAGGCTTAAGTGTAGGGGAATGGTGCTGACATTCAAAGGATCATAATCAAGGAGAATGTGGGATTCGAAAACAGAATCAGCGTCAACTTCATATTTAGGTCGCCATCGTTACCCAAATCGATACCCCTTCGATGACTGGTTTGCGTGCTCCAAAACAGGCAACTGGCAAATATTTATGACATACACATAGCTAACTCGTGAGATGTTTCCTTTCCTGTAACAGAAGCACGATTTTAGGACGATGTGTTTTATAGTCTTCACAAAAAGAAACTCACACGTAAATATATTGTGTCTAATAAAGCCGATATATTTAATTTAATATCATAGATACAAATATGAAATTTTGGAGCTCGATAGTTTCATGTTGTCGTTGTACAAAGGCATTGAAAACTGTTCATCGTCATGTCACATAAGGCCACAATGTTGCGCTGAACTCAGTATCTCGTGTGACCGCCCCGGGTAGCAATCACGGCTCTGTGTCTCTTCGGCACTGACTGGATAAGTGTACGAATTCTGTCCTGCGGAATTTTGCGCCACTCTGCTTGTAACGCGTTGGCCAATTGTGCGAATGACGTTGACGTTTACGTCCATCGAGTTCATCCCAGAGGTGTTCGATTGGGTTGAGATCTGGAGATCTCGACGGCCAGGACAAGACGTTGATGTTGGCATTATGAAAGTAGTCTACCGTGACACGAGCTGTGTGCGGTGGAGCGTTGTCCTGTTGAAACAGCTCCCTCTGGCGGTCAATGATTGGAAGATGGTGAGGTTGAAGAATTTAATTCATGTAGCGATTTGCTGTCAAATTTCCCTGAACCACAACCAAGTCAGATCTCGCGGTGTAGGATATGGACACCCACACCATGACTCTACCGCCACCGAAATTGTCGAATTCACGTACACAATGTGGGGCAAAACACGTTCTCTTCCATCTCGCCGGTGAAGAAGAAATCGTGATTCATCGCTAAACCCCACTCTTCTCCAGTTTCTCAAATTCCAAGGCTGTAATGTATGGAGTCGCTGTCGATGGATCTGTTGCAAAACAGTGACGATAACTGGTCTTCTGGGTCGGATTCAAGCCAGTCGGTCGGTTCCTGAGAGTCTGGTCCGATATCCTCCTCAAACCAGGGATGCGTCCAACAGTCTCCGTAGCTGTGGCATTGTGATGACGTAGGTGGAACAGTCGAACGTAGGGATCCTGTGTAGGGGTGGTAACTCTTGGTCGGCCGGTTCTCGGACGGTCTGCAGTGGAATTGAACTGTGTGTATCGGTCACAAAGTCGGCAAATGGTGCTGTGGTGGACGTTGAAGTGGCGTGCAACAGAAGACTGCGATTCCCCTCTTTGGATACGTCCTATGGCAATGTTCCGATCGGCAGCGCTGAGTCTCGGCATTTTCGAACTTGAAAAATCTTGACAATTGAATGACAAATTATTGACTTATGCTTGCCTTTTTATAGCCACTACCACGAGTTACACGAGTTACGAATGCCATAACTTGCACGTGCATTATGCATTACTGTTTTCCTCCATGACATTTTTGAACATGTGTGAAAACAATGCCGTTTAAGACATTGCAAACCGACAATGGCTGCGTTTTGACGCACCGTTTGTCGAATATCAGGCCACCAACATTTTCCAATAACATAAATCCAATTTATATACCGGATTTTTTGTGTAGTCAGGTTCAATGTACTACATAATACCTGTGCGTTTCTTTTTTTGAAGAGTGTATGTAGGTGCGTGTTTGTTGTGTGTAACGACATGGTTCATGGGCATTCACGGTCGATGACAACGACTGTATAATCTTCTCACTGACGTGTCTGTTGTTAGGGACAATCGTGGAAGCAGCGTACCGTAACAGCGCATGCATTCATTGATTCGGGATGTTCACTACAGTACAGGCCAACCCAGCAGACTTGAGCCCACGGAGAACATGGGCCTCGTTCACTACTAAAAGAACAACATATGTTCCTCCTTCAAAAATATCTTGGTGGCAGACGTGATTTGATAACGATGTTCCTTCAAACATTCATTCATAGGCTGGGGGTCGTATACCAACGTGGTCTATTGTTATTCATCGGAGTTACTGGACTATAACAAATACACTATTGTTGGACTGCTATCTGTCGGGTGGCGTGGACCAGTGGCCAAAATGACTTCACAACACCTGCAGAGTTGTTTCCCTTGGATACCCTGAACACCTGGGAGTGACTCAGGAGTGATCGGTTGGTCAGGCTAGCTGACTAGGTTGATGCATGTCATCGAATCCCATTTTATGTAGATCGATGCTTATGATGTAAATCACTGGATTGTTTAGTCCAGACTTGATTATTTATACAGAACGACGTCATATAGCTGGAATATTGCTGAGAGCGGCGTTATACAACAAACAAACAAACAAATGATTCATAATCCAAGATTCACCCCGAATATGAAAACTGACCACCAATGTCATGCCTACATTAGCGTTACACCTAATCATCGTGTACATTAATGGTGTCGATCTCCCGACTGCATTCAATATTAAACTAGGCATACTCGAATTTCGAGTGGTAGTATCGTATTTGCAAAGCTACTTCATGTCTGACACACGCGCCTGTGTGTGGAATGTATGCGGATGGCTGACCTTTACAACTTTCACCTAAAACGCATAATGCATCAGATCACCAGTGTATTTCGAGATGGATAACGGAATCAATTTGGTAGCGCATATCTTTATTAATAGCTGCGGTATAAACCTTTCACTGAATTGTTCCAGCGCCGAGGCAGCAGTCAATTGGCCACAGGCCTAGGAAAGACTCAAGGATGGTATTCTGTTCCATTTTACCTGTATACCTGAACTGGACTTATTGCTTTGTATGTATTATTATGCTATATTTGTTTGAATCAGATTTTGGAGTAAGAGCTAACATTTTATCCAAAATCTCAGACACTGCATCCAATATATATTGTGTTCATTGCACAAGCTAGAGCAAAATTCCAGCTATTTTTTATATATATTTGGTATTGTGGTTTGTTGCCATACTTAAACCTAATTACTTTTTTACTTGTTCTTAAAGATCTGAAAATATATAGAATTTTATTCGATTACCCTAGTCAGACAAAAACAGTGCAAAAGAACCAAATTTAAGCCATATCCAGATCACCTGCCGTTAATATCTATGTCAGAGACATAAATGTGTTTGCTCTTATATGAAAAAAAGAGCAATTTCCATATAACTATGTATTTGTATTAAGATGTTCGCGGGTTACATCGCCTTCGTGGTCTAAGGCATACAGGTCTGTCCGGAGGTCCCTTATCCCCCGACCGCGTAATACCAACAGACTTGGAACTTGTTGTTGCCTTGCCTGGCGCTCGGCATTCAGGGGATCACACGATCGGCGCTGACAGATGATCCGCGATCGGAGCTGACAAACAGATGATCACACGATCGGCCCTGACCGACAGATGACCACACGATCTGTGCTGACGGAAAGATGATCACAAACTGTAGTCACACAATCACTCCTTGAATATAGGACCACGTTGTTCCCTGCACGCAAAATATGTGAGTGTATTCCTGAACTGCGTTCTGGGACATATAGTTTGTCGTACACACCAGGACCTTGTCGACATTTTCAAGAGTCTCCTGTTTTCTGAATCAATCAGAACCTTTCAACGACAACACGAGACTCGGAGAGTCGTGCTATCAATTGTTATGAGAATGAGGGGTATCATTACGAATATTTCTACGGCAAATCAATTTCCATGTCAACTTACAAAGTTTCTACTTTGACAGAAGCAGCAGAATGTTACCTGAGAGTTATTAATGGTGTATTGACAACGAGCAGGGTCCGCTGACTTTCACCATCTATAAGTAAATGCA